TCTTTTATTTAAATTTTTTTTGATTTATGTATTTTTATTTTATGTGTATGAGTGTTATACCTGCATGTGTGTAAAATGCACCTGTGTGATGCAGTGCCTGAGGACAGAAAATGGTGTTGGAGCCCCTGGAACTGGAGTTACAGATGGTTGTTAGCCACCATGTAGATGCTGGGAATCGAACCCGGGTCCTCTGCAAGACTAGTCAGTGCTCTTAACTGCGGAGCCATCTCTCCAGCCCTAAAAAGATTTTTTAAAAATGTGTATGTGTGGGTCTGTGTGTATATATCGTGTGCATGCAGGTGTCTGAGGAAGCCAGAAGAGGGTGTCAGATCTCTGGGAGCTGGAGTTCCAGGCAGTTGTGGGTGCTGAGAACCAAACTCAGGTCTATTGGGAGAGCAGGAAGTGCTCTTAACCACTGAGCCATCAACAGCTGTAACACTACATTTTGAGCCTGTTTTCTCCTCTTGTGGAGTTAATTCAGAGTTCTGGCCACACATAGTTACTAAGTCAGAGGGCCTCTAACCAAGGTCGTATAATGGTTGGTGGGACACAGGTTTCTGTCGTAGTCAGGCTGATGAAGCACATTAACCCCACCACATTTCCCTCCTTACTCTGACCCGTCGTGTGTGCACCGTGCCCAGTCACCCACATCAGAGAACTTTATGAGAGGTACGCCAGACCTTTGATCCTTCTGATGTTCTGAGGACAGGGCCCTCAGCATGAGATAGTGCAGCAGGTGTCCCAGAGCAGCCCACTGTGGGATGGGCAGCGGGCATCCACAACACCCCCCTCCCCAAGGCAGAAGTTTCTTTGAATAAAGTCCAAGTAATTGGTTGTTAAGAGTTTATCTTTGTTTCCTACAAACCAAAACCCAAAGGTGGTGGATACGCAGCTATCTGCTCTTCTTTTCTGGTTGCTTGGGTGCCGTGTTAAGTAGACACTGGCCTTTTCCTAGATAGGAACCAGTTGGGGGTCTCTAAAAGCTGGCCCTTGCCAGGTTTCCCAAGGTGGCTGAGGGTGGGAGGATCACAGATGCGTGTGTGGAGAAATATTGACTCTATAGACAGTAAGCCTTATCAGGGTGAGTGGGTCCCGTGAGCCTGGTGCCATTTTCTGTATTTTCACATATCTCTATCCGTTTTCAGCATCGTCATCCTCTATTTAAGGTTTGGAGCACAGGTATTGCAAGACAACTTTGTAGCCGAACTCTCAGCTCACTACCAGAACTATATCCTTTTCTTCAGAAGACTGGGTTTCAGGGCTGCCCTGTGTGTGTGGTTAGCACCTTAGTGTTAGAGGCTTAAGAGGGGATGGATCAGCTCCTTGTGACCTGTGTTCTGCAGACCCTCAGTTGGCCAATCTGCACCCGTAGGCATGTCTCACCCTCTCTCTTGACCTCCTGTCAGTCCTGGGAAGGGCAGTAGGCTTCACCAGCCCTCCTTCGTAGCAGAAGCTCAGACACAGCAGTGCTGAGCCAGTGCCCAGGATAAGTCACTGTGTGCACAGCCTGGATCCAAACTGACAGCCACCCGAGGCTGTGCTCCGCCTGCTGCTTCCTCCAGTGGGGCAGGCCTGAGCAGCTGAGGGAAGTGCAATTTCAGTTCCAAGTCCCAGTCAGTCCTCAGCTGCTGGCTCCCTCCAGTGGGGCCCCAGGAGCAGCCCAGGGATGTGTCTTCCAAGTGTCATCATCGTCCTGACAGCTTGGCTGGTTGAGCTTGTGGGTAGAGAAGGACTTGGTCCTGGAACTTGGTCCAGTTTCCACTATGCCTGTGTCCAGCCTGTATCTTGATTTCCCGTCCTTGTTCAGGTAGACAGAAAGCATGTGTGAGCTTCCTGTCCCCTCTGCAGTGAACATACTTACAGGAACCTCTCCTGTGTTCTTAAAACTAATGACAGTTTTTCAGTTTTTGTGAGTGAATTTCACACTGAGCTTTTGTCGATGGTCACAGGTCTGTAATCTGATGGTGGAGGACCGCTTTGAGTGTTCTTAACTCTTCATTCCCTTGTTTCAGCAGACCTCCATTTCCTTCCTGTTCTTTATGAGTTATGAACTTTGATCCCACTGGATCCTGCCCTTAGTGCAGTGGGAGGTGAAGGGTTACCTGTATAAGGGTTCTTGTGACATCTGGCCATGGCCTTGAGCTTGGGCATCCTGACATCTGTGCTCTGAACCCCCAGATTGGTCAGTGATTCACACTAGACAGGGCTACAGGTTAGGAGGAGGTGAAGGCATTGTGTGTCTAAATCTGTGTTCCTTCCCTTGACCAGCACTACCAGCTGAATTCTTATCTTTCTATGGTTTGTTGAACTTTTATCTCTACACGCTGGCCTTTGTGTATTCTCCATCAAAGAATGCTCTGTATGGTAAGCCACCCTAGGTCTGGGCTGTTGGCCAGATAGCTGAAACAAGCCTCCATTGGCTCAGGACCCCTAACAGGTTTTCCCTGGATACCTGGCCCTGCAACTCACAGCACTTTCTCTTTGGTCAGAGACAGAAGGCAGGCAAATGGTGAGCCTGAAGTTTGACTTAGAGTGATACTGCACCAGTGTCGTGCTCTTACAGCATGCGATCGCTAAGTTTCTTTCGTTAGTGGGCCTGGCATCAGCAGCATATCCACTGGTCATATGGAATGAATAGTTAAAAACTAGTGTCGTGACTATTCAAAGGAAAGCCAAAACCTACCAAAACAAACACCCCAAAAAACAAAACAAAGCAGCCCTTACGTGGGGGATACCGTTCTGCCTGCCATCTGATGCCTTCATGAACTGCGTCTCCCTTGAGCTGTACCAGGGCCTTGTACAAAGGAGCAGTCACTACCTTTTGTACAGAGGGAAAAACTGAGGCTTGCTGCAGATCCAGGCTGGGGAGGGGACAGACAAGGCAGAGCCATGTCTCCTAAGGCCCGTCCCACACCCTGGTAGACTTAGAAGAAAATGAGAGGAGGCAGCTGATGGGTGTGGCCCCCTTGTTGCCTGCTAGTTCCCACAAACTGTGGTGCCACCAAGACTATGTGGAAACCTGGCTTATAGCTGAGAAGTAGGCTTGGGGTGACCTGCCCCCGTTCACATGTGTGCTCACAGGATCTAGGCTTGGGATCCAGCTCCTTCAGACTCTGACTTGGGCTAATAACACAAAATGCTTTCAATAAAAAAGCTTCTCTTGGTTTTTCCAGAGTCCCAACTAAAAGACAATCCTGCATTTTCCATGCTGAATGATTCTGATGATGATGTGATATACGGGTAAGTCACTGTCACCAGGTGCATTCCAGCCTGGCCCTGCATGCTTACTGAACCGATATTTGAAGACAGTCTTCACAGCATTCGAACTTTACCCGGGAGTATCATGTGCCTCCATGGCTTTGTTCATGTGATTCACATCAGTTCAGTGGCATTCTGTGTTGTAGTATGGGAACTACAGAACAGTTCCGAATAGAGGGTGCCGAGAGCCTTCAGGTGGGGAGAGTGGGCAGTGTTGAGTGGCCACAGACCCCAGGAGGGAGGCTGTGAGATGAATTATTTCAGTAGAGAGGAGAGTGTGAAGGAAAATAGGTAGTCAAGAGCTACCAGATGGGACTGGGAGATGGCTTAGTAAAGTGTCTGCCCTGCAGACTCAAAGACCTGAGTCCAGAGCTCCAGCACCCAGGTAAAAAGCCAGGCTTTGGTGGTATGCCCCTACAACCCCAGCACTGGGGAGACAGACAGGCAGATCCCTGGGGCTTGCTGGCCGGCCAGTCTAGCTGAATCAGTGAGAGACCCTATCTAAGAACAATAAGGTGGAGAGTGACTGAGGAAGACACCCGATGTTGACCTCTGGCCTCCACACGTATACAGGTGCACACACACAAAAGAACTGCCACAGTGGCAGGGTATCAAAGGTCTCTTTTACCACAGGAGTGACTATGAAGAAATGCCCCTGCAGAACGGCCAGGCCATCCGGGCCAAGTACAAGGAGGAGTCTGACAGCGACTGAGCCCTGGACAGCAGGCACGTGACGGCAAGGGGGCCAGGGGCCTCCCCCAGTGACCGTCCTGGTCCTTCCTTCTACCTGTGTGTGTTTGGACAGTTCTTGGAAGCAATGGTTTCCTGTTCCTTATTTGTTTACATATTTTTAAAGGAATAACCAAAACTGATTTAAATATTGGGCTGTTTGTCAGGGTAGCCCCATTATTTCAGAGAGGCCGATAAAAACCTTAAAAGAAGGCCAAATCCTTTCACAAAGATTATCAGATGAGACAGCATGTTTTCAGTACTGAGGAGAAATAACCCATTTTTTAGTAAAAAGAACTACATACTTTTTTTTCTTTTTTTTTTGAGACAGGGTCTCCCTGTAGCCCCAGCTGTCTTGGAACTCACTATGTAGACCAGGCTGGCCTCGAACTCACAGAGATCCGCCTGCCTCTGCCTCCCAAGTGCTGGGACTACAGGCGTGCGCCACCACACCTGGCATACTTTCTTTTCTTTTTAACACTAATTCATTCCAAGTCCGTGGGAAGCCCTGATGAGGAGGGTCCCAGCCAGGCTGTGTGTCCCCATCCCCGGCTCCATGTTACCAGTCACCATGCTTTCTACTCAGAGGGATGCCATTTCCATGTCTCAGACAGGCAGTCTTCTCCATCCCCATGGACCCATGGAGCAGTCAGCACCGATTCCCAGGCTCTGGAATGACTGCATTGATTTCATTTGATGAGCCAGATAAGGTGTAGCCTGTCAGGAATGGGGGGCGGGGGCAGGCTCCCACCGCTGCTGCTGCCGCCGCACAAGTAATAACACCACGGGGTTCAGAGGGGAACTGATAGGCTGGAGGAGGCTCGGGTGTTTCCAAGCCAACAGCCCTGTGGGCAAGGTCTTGTGCCCTGGTGCTTTTCAAAGGTCTGTGTGCATATGTGATGAGCGGGTTTCCCTGTGCCAGGGTGGATAACAGGATAGCCCTTCCTGTTCCCAGTAAAAAGTTCTGCAACTCGGCTGAACGTGAAACCCCAAAGAGCTTTATTTTTTTTAATGAAAGCTACATCAAAGACTGCTGTAATATAAATTCTTTGTTGCCAAAAAGGTTTTCAGTTGGCTGTTTAGAACTGAAGAGAAAGTAAAACATTTTGAATGGCAGCAGAAAAACCTCAGCTAGAAGTAATTTGAAGGCCATTCCCTGTCCTTGAAGTGTTGCTCTGGAAAATGGATGTTGCTTGCACTGGTGAAGCTCGGCACTGAAGGTCCTTAGAGTGCAGCTCCCTCCCATCAGCCTCCACAGAGCCTACTGCCATGTGGTAACGGCTCTGTGAATACATGGTACAGTGTCTGGCTAGCCTGCTGCCGTTTTGACAGATCCAGAGGCCAAGGAGCAGGCCAACCCCCTGCTGCAGCACCACGTTCCCTTCATCTATGCACAGAGTCACAGATCTCTGCTCAGAGCTGCAGGTGACTGTCCACCTAGGGTGGGCTGGGACCCAGAGACGCTTGGGACACACTACATTCTGACTTCCTGTCTTCTCAGACTTTAATGTACTTTAATATGGATTATGTTTGCATTAAAAAAACAAACCTTGTAAATATGAACATCTGAATAAAAACTTGTTGCAAGGGGCAAGAGTAATTCAAGTTTACATGATTTTATATTTGCAATGCTGTGATTACTTTTGATTGCTGTGTACTCAGAGGTATTGAAAATATTTTCAGTTACCAACTTTGACAGTTTGTAATACAGCTACTCCAACTACAGTTTGATGTACACAGATGAATACTGACTTGTGCTGATTATGTATTCTAATATGTGATATATTTACATGTTTTAATCATTGTAAAAGAACTGTTCATGACTGGGAATGCTATTTATCTCAGTGTAAGATTTGAAGCATTTAGGCATAGACATTAGCACTTCTAAAAACTGTCCTATAGTATAATTATAAACTGTTGACAAATGTCTTCATACATTGCTTCTTCATGGCATCAGTGAAATTAAAATATGGGAATATTTTGGTTGGAAACAATAGTTACAAGAAAGTACTTAAGGGGACAGGGGCTTCATTAAATCATGTTTTCAAATTTTCTTCCCCAGTGTCATGTATATCATCGTATACTCTGTAAAAGTTTCCTTAAAAATCTGGAGAGTTGGATGTGTAGACTGTGTACTGTAGGTAGGTATTAGGTTAAAACACTAAAGTCTGCCAGAAACTTTTGATAGTAGCAAGAAAATTGTTTTGCTTTGAGGGTATTAAAGTTTTGTAACCTTACATTATAAATTCAAAGGGCTGACTAGTTCTTTCATGGTAATGGTTTGAATAATATCATCTTTAGGATATTTTTTATATTCCCAATCTAGGGGAACCTGGAAGATCAATAGAGACCTCTCTCACTTTCCCTGGGGAGAGTCTCATTATCCATGTGGATAAACAGGTCTGCTTGATTTATTGTTAAATCATTACAGCAGTTAAGTGGTACCCTTAAGCCCCATTTGACTGGCTGGAGAGGAGATACGTAAAGTATATTCAAGGCTTGCAGGCAGTCACTGTACATAAAGACTATAGTGAGTTAATCTGTAAACGCAACCCACAGATGGACAGGTTACAAAACAGATGTCACCGGCCTCAAGTGTCTCATGAACCATTGAAGACAGAGTTATGAAGAATAGGTTATAATATGGCCACTAACTTATTCCCTGAATCTTTTTCACAGGAAAAACACAGAAACCATAAAAAGGGATAATTAAAAAGGACTTCCCCATGAGCACTTGGTAAAGAACAGATTTGAGACCGCAAGTGTTTTTGTGTATAATGAGGGTTTAGAAACCCATTGCCTTAGAGCTTAGATTTTTTCGTGGGGGAGGCAGAGGGGAGGATAAGTACAACTTTTATTTTTCCAGGCTAAAGGGAAATTGATTTAATCTGATATCTAGTTGAACAATTTATCTTAATGTTTTGGCTATATTGGTAAGTGTAATACCACCCTATGAAACAGGATTTTTTCTGCTACTGAAAACTGCCTTTTTACAAGAAGTCTATAAATATTTGTAAAGTAAAAACATTAGGCTTTAAGCTCAGAAAGAAAGCCAGAACTCTGTATTTAAGTTTGGGCCGTCAGTAGAGCAGCCTTACCTCATCAATGACCATTGCAATGAGGCAAGAGTAAATAAATGTTATTTATGGAAAGCTCAATAAAACTCATGTTTTGAGAATGGTTTGTGTTGGACCTTTTGTTGCTGTGACAAATACCTGAGGAACAACTTACAGGAAGGACAGACTTTAGCTCATGAATTCAGAGGTTTTAGTCCATGGTTAGCTTGATCCATTGTTGTGGGCCTGTGATATGGACAGATACCATGTTGCTAACTGTGTGGCAAAGTTGCTCATTTTTAGGAAGCGAAGTGAAATAGCAGGAAGGGACCAGAACAAGCTAGGTCCCCTCCCCACTAAGGACGTGTGTCTAGTGATTGCCGTCCTTCATCTAGGCCCTACCTCCTAAAGTTTCCAGAACCTCCTAAAATAGTATGACCAGCTGAGGACTAGGTGTCAACACAGGAGCCTGTGGGGGACATTTCACATCTAAACCCAAATAGCTTCGTTCTGACGATATCCCTTTCAGATCAGTGGTAATAAATTTCTAACTTTTCATCTTTTTTTTAAAACTTTTGTTAAAAATTATTTTTATGTGTATGTGTGTATTGCCTGCATGTAGGTAAGTGCACCTGTGTTGTACAGTGCCCATGGAGGACAGAAGAGGCTGTTGGATCCCCTGGGACTGGAGTTACGGACAGTTGTTAGCTGCCATGTGGGTGCTGGGATTTGAACCTGGGTCTTCTGCAAGAACAACCAGTGTTCTTAACCACTGAGCCACCTGTCCAGCCCTCTAACTTCATCTACTTATGTACCATTTGCTTTTTGCCTGAGTGCTTTGGAAAGAGGACTTGGGAGAGCAAAGCGAGGCTGGCTGCCAGTGGAAATGGCAGTGTTGACTGGGGGGGTGGCTCAAGAGTAAAGCACTTGCTGTGTCACATGAGGGCCTGAGCATGGATCCTCAGCAGCCAAGTAAAAGCTGGGCACAGCGGCATGTGTCTGAACCCTCTGCACTGGAACATTGGGCAGGAAGGTGAATCCTGGGGCTTGGTGGTCCGTCAGTCTAGCTGAATGAGTTCCAGGTTCAGTGAGAAACTGTCTTAGAGAATAAGGGGTGGGGGCTGGAGAGATGGCTCAGCGGTTAAGAGCGCTGCCTGTTCTTCCACAGGACCAGTGTTCCATTCCCAGCACCAAGGCACCTAACAACCATCCCTAACTCCAGTTCCAGGGGATCTGATGGCCTATTTTGGCCTCTGTGGGCACTGGATGCACATAGTGCACTTATACATGTAGGCAAAACACTCATACACAAAAAAGTAAATCCACAGAGATGGAAAACAAGAGGAAGATACCTGATGTTGACTTCTGGTTTCTACATGCAAGCACAAGTATACATACTAACATACATATACAAGAACACACCAAGAAATGGCAGTGTCTAAATCACCATGTTTCATGTGACCCACAAAAAATGCCCCAAAGGGGACAACAGCAGGCCAGGCCCATGGGGGGCCCCTTCTCACTAGGATTTGTGACTTGAACCAGTTGGATAACCTGCAGGTACTTTGTGATTTTTAAATAGTTAAATTCAATAACTATTAAACTAATTATTAAACTAATAAACTATTGTGAATACAAACTGAATAGCTATGAAAGCATTTTTTAAGCCACAAAATACTAAAATAACTTGTGACTGCTACTGACAAGCTAAGATTAAAAGTGTTATAGGGCCAGCAGCTTTGGGCCAAGCATGTGAGTTAGACCTCTCTGACTTCCTACCCTTTAACTTCCAGAAAGTGGGAGCCTAGGAACGATCTCAGCATGACCAGGATCCTGCCCTCATGGGTGAAAGCAGCCAGTCTTTCTGCTAAAGAGGACCAAAGCAGAGGTGCAATTTTCTTTCCTCCACGGAGACATTTTATTTGTGTTTATCACGTCCCTAGGAAGAGTCCTGGAATTTTCCTCTTCTGTGCTTTCCTCTTGCTTCATGGTCTGTGGTGCCAGTTGAAGTTTCAGCACAATGAAACCAAGCTTACGGGGGCATCAAGATGGCTCACTGGGTAGAGTGCTTGCCACCATGCCTGACAACCTGAGTTCCATCCCTGGTGCCAATGGCAGAAAGAGAACTGACTCCCACAAACTGTCCTTTGACTTCTACATGTGAGCTGAAGAATGTGTGCTCATTCTCTCCCCTCTCTGTCTCGCTCTGTCACACACACACACACACACACACACACACACATGCACACACAAAAATTAAAAGAAAAACCTGAACTTTGGGATGGAAACAGTCTTCTGCCATTTTTCTAGATCGGAGTTGCATATGGAATCCAGTTGATCACATCTTAACTTGCCTGGGAGGTTCACCACAATCTTCCCAGCTCTGATTTCAGCTTTGCCAGTGTAACCACGTTTCACCATCGCAGGGAGGCCTACCAAGCTCCTGGCCTGGCCTCATTTCGGCACTGTCGATACTCAAGACCATCAGCCAGGGTGTTCCTGTAGACCCTCACGACCGTGCAGGGAGAGCTGAGTGCAGTTCTGAAACAGTAACTACAGGCTCATTTGCAATGACAAAAACTTTAAATTTGAATAATTTATTCTAACAAAAGTATAAAGTATGGAAACTTAGTGTATCTGAATCATTTCAGAGAGTAGAGAAGTTTGCTACTAGCAGATTGCAGTGTTCAGCACCTTTGAAAAGAAACAGAGTTAAGACACGTGGCAATGCCAGCCTCAGACTACTACAGACAGTTAGGATCTGACTAACTGCAGTTCCTGTAACAGAGAGGTCATTTGATTTATTTCCCTACATTTTGAGAGTGCCACAAAACACACACTAAAGGGGAGAAAGGTGTTCACCGAATTCACAGCTGGTGGTTGAAGATGGAATAGAAGTGTTGAGACGAAGGGAGGGCTCAGGCTGGCAAGTCAAATGGACAGTCCGAAGGTACTGACAATGCAGTACATGGTCTTGTTCTCCCATCGCACGGTGCAGCTTCCTGAGGGGAAACAAACAGGTGCTGGAAATGAGGAAATCCAGATGAGGTCCCACACAGCCAACACTGGAGCACTTACCTCCTTAGAGCACACAAACACAGAAGGTTACCTTGTTGACTTAAGTGATTTACTTTATTTACAAATAAAGAAGGCAACTGTCTATAGAATGTATGGCAGCTCATAAAGATGCATTGGAAGACATGAGACATCTAAGCATACACTTCATACAATGCTGCTGCTCAGAACTACGTATTTCAACATGAACCAAGCGGGTACTTGAGAGTTTTCAAGGGTAAAATGCAGAATGAGATTCCGTAAACATGAGACTCCTACCGTCAGTAGAGCTGTCCCAGAAGCAGGAGCTTGCTGTGTGTAACCCAGCTCCGTTCTTCTGCATGATTACACAGGTCACTAAATTAAACAAATTCTATTAGAAAATATGGCAGTACAAATGTCACTTTGCCTCTGCAGATTACATGGCTGATGTTCCTAATAAAAACTAAGGCAGACTCCTTGTCTCACTGTGACAAATTACATGCTTCCTTTATCATTTACACATTCTAAACGTGACTGATCAGAAAAATCCTGTAATCTCACAAGCCCCGCAATGGGGCAGCAGCCAGACAGGCCAAGCACACGGTCACATTCACTCAGGGGAGACTTGCTCCTGGAAGGGACATTCTTGGAGGCTGGGCACCACACTGCCAAGTTATCTTTTGGCACCAGATGTCTCTGATTAGTATTTAAAGAACTAAAATACACAAGAAACAAAATCCATTACCAATGTATTTGAATGGTTTTCCCAGCTTGGTGAGTTGGCTTAAAGTCTGTTCTACAACATTTGTGGTCCACTGATTGACTTTGCTGTGCTGGTAAGCATTACCACCGATGGCACCTTCTATAGCCTGGGGGCGGGGGGGGGAGAACAACACAGAGATCATAGGGTGAACACCAAACACCTGCCACTTACCTGAAACGGCCCACCCCAGGGGTGAAGACAGAACTTGTGGAAGACGCAAGTTTACGTTTATGACTCCCTTGCAGTGTTTGCTCAACAGCAGCTCACTGGATTTCAGTTAAGTTTTACACTGGCTGAAGAGCCATCGTTCTGTAGAATCTGTCAAATGTGTTTAATATTTTGACTAAAGAATTTGGTTGAGTGTTCACTGTTGCTATTAGTATGTAGAGATAATACTTTTTTTCTTATTGAGGCCAGAAAAATATTTTGCCAGTTTCTTGAAAGTGCACTAGATGTTTTGACACAACACTAACATACACTAGTGATATACTATTTTGGTCACTGCTAGGCTTCCTACCAGGAGATCCCATCATATGACTCTCTCTCTGCCAGTGCACCTCTCTAAGCAGCTCCCTCTCTACCCCGTCTAACCTGCTGTGCCAGAAAACAGATTTAGTGACAGTTATGACCTAAAGTATAAGGCATTCATTGAGGGCCATGCTCTGTTCTCAGACAGGCAGTCCAGGGACCCCACTGTACACAGTGGTGAAGGAACAGGGTCTGGTGCTCTCAGGTGGGGAGGCTCAACCTTCCCTTGGAGGGACAATAAACTACGCAGGCTAACACTGGTCTGGGGCTCCGACCTTCATACACACAGCTTCTGGCTCCTGCTCCTCTTCTGCTATGGCTGCCCTCTCTGAGCTGAGATCACACAGTGGACTGAGGACTGAGGACCAGCAGTCTTGCTTTAGTCAAGGTAAGGCTAGACACGGGCACTATCAAAGTGGGAAGGGCTTTGTTCAAGCCAAGCCACCTCGGCCACCTCATGCTTTGCTGCAATGTGTACTTTCAATTGTGCCTGCTGCCTGGTAACCAAGTCAAGGTGAATGCAAAAATCAAGGGAGGCCAAAGCTCCCTAACAAACCAGCTCCACTTTCCTAAGTCTAGTCTAATCCCCCAACTTCCTGCCTCCACATTCCATATGAAACACTGCATTGAAAAAAACAGTAAAAAGCAAACTGTTACACACCCTGCAAAGCACCAGAAAACCATGTCTGATGTTGAATAATGTAAGCAGAAGTGATAAAATTGTTTTGCCTTTGGAACTATTAACAAAAATTGCTTGTGCTTAATACTCTGGTATTAGTCAATAATGTACATTATTAATTTGCATTCCAGCTAACCCAAAATTACTTAAGGAACTCACATGTACCTATAATACTGATCTGGTTTGTGGCTGTGACAAAGTATCTGACAAACACAGCCTAAGGAAAGAAGGGTTTATTCTGGTTCACAGTTCCAGGGAACACAGCCTATCATGGCGGGAAAAGCAAGATGCCATGAGTCCAGGTCACATCAGGAGGTGGTGGAGGTGGAGAGATGAATGCTGGCGCTTGGCTCATGTTCTCTCTCTTTTTTGTTCGATTCAGGACTCCAGCCCATGGAGTGGTGCCGCCTACATTCAGGGTGGGTCTTCCCATCTCAATTAGCCCAATCTAGATAATCCCTCACAGACATGCCCATGTGTTTCCATGGTGATTCCAGAGCCTGTCAGGTTGACAATATTAACCATCACAGTGCCCTAACAGTCAGGTCACCTACTAACTTCTAGTGACATCAGTGTCTTGCTGGGCTGCACAGGAAGCTGATAGGAAGAGCACGTGGCTTTGTTCCAGCTGCAGGCATCCCTGGGCCTCTGCACCTGTCCAGCCACCTGCCTCCTTCTGCTCCCTTACACAGTCTATGGACACCCCCACCACAGGGCTCACATGCTGTCATGGCCCTGAGTGCTGTCCCCTATCTCCACCCAGTTTTTTGTATTAACTCTAATCAGAGTCAAATTCTCCTTTTAAAACTCTCTCAGCACCATGTCCTGTGGCACACACCACAGAAGAAATGTTAAGTCTACCTGTGCTGGTTCCAGTGTGGGCAAGAGTCTGTCCTCCCTTCCTCTGAGTTCCAGCAGGGCCAGCCCCAGCATGCTCGTTCAGTAGGTACTTTTTGAAGGAACAAAGAACAAATATCCCTGTGATGGTTACTACATTGCCAACTTGGCAGTATTTGGATTCACCTAGGAGACACCTCTGGGTATGTCATATTTCCAGTTAGGTTTTTTTTTTTAATATTTTATTTATTATTTTTATTTTATGTATATGCATGTATTGCCTGCATGTAGGTAAGTACACCCATGTGGTGCAATGCCTGGGGAAGACAGAGGCTATTGGATCCCTTGGAACTGGAGTTACGGACTGTGGTTAGCTGCCATGTGGGCACTGGGATTAGAACCCAGGTCTTCTGCAAGAACAACCAGTGTTCTTAACTGCTGAGCCATCTCTCCAGCCCCCCAGTTAGGTTTTTTATTTTTGGTTTATTTATTTATTTATTTATTTATTTACTTATTTGGTCTTTTTGAGACAGGGTCTCCCTGTAGCCCCAGCTGGCCTGGAACTCACTATGTAGACCAGGTTGGCCTTGAACTCACAGAGATCTGCCTACCTCTGCCTCTGCCTCCCAAGTGCTGGGATTAAAGGTGTGTGCCACCACACCCAGCTCCAGTTAGATTTTACTGAAAAGACTTACTCTGAATGTGGGTAACACCATTCTGTGGACAGGGGTTCCTGACTGAATAAAAAAGGGAGGGAGAAAGCAAGCAGAGCCTGGCACTTATCTCTGTCTCTTGATTGAAGACTCATTGGGACCAGTCACCTTAAACTCCTGCCGCCATGATGGGCTGTATCCCCTAAAACCATGAGCCAAAATGAACTCTTCCTTAGGCTGCTTTTAGATAGTTATCACAGTGATGGGAACAGTAACTAACACAATTCCTTTTGTCTGCCATCCTTATCATCGTTTAAGGGAGGTATGATTTATAACCATGGTTTAGGAATTTAAGAAAAAGACATGAATAAACCCTAACTACATCACCAGATCCTGAATTATTGGAAGTTGTTATATTTTTCTTATTTTTTAAAAGATTTATTTATTTTAGGCTGGGCATGGTGGCGCACGCCTTTGATCTCAGCACTCAGGAGGCAGAGGCAGGCAGATCTCTGTGAGTTTGAGGCCAGCCTGGTCTACAGAGCAAGTTCCAGGACAGCTGGAGCTACAGGGAGACCCTGTCTCAAAAACAAAACACAACAAAACAAAACCAACTTATTTATGTGTATGAGTGTTTTACCTATGTATGTGCACCACATGCATGCACTGCCCATGGAGGCCAGAAGAGGACATCAGATCCCCTGGAACTGGAGTTACAGATGGTAGGCAAACACCATGTAGGTGCTGGGGGCCAACCAGGTCCTCTGCAAGAACAGCCAATGCTCTTAACTGTGGAGCCATCTCCCAGCCCAGCTTTATATTCTTTCTGCAGTAACCCTTTTTCATTAAACACTGGAGACATTTACTCACATACCACAAGTTTTCTATGCTGAGTGGTTATAGAAACTGCCTTTTAAGCCTTCAGTAATGCCATGTAGGATTTCCTATCTGAGAGTATATATAATTTACATAACATGAAAGCAATTTTTATGTCTACATAAAGAATGCTATCTGAAATGCCAAAATACAAAGACATGATAACTGCTGAGATTATACTAAAGTGGATTTTAACTCATATGGAATTTTCACTCATAACATCAATCACACACGTGAAAAGCAAGCACACCTCCTCTTACCTCCTTTACAATGTTGCTCACTTCATCAACAACAAAAGCAGTCTGTGAAGGAAGAAAACTTAGGTGAGCTTGGTTTAAAAAATCTGTCTCTACTACATTAGTAAACCACAAGGAAATAATGAGTGTAAGTTGTTTTTTATTTTTTGGGAGGAAGGGGGGGGTTGGATTTTTTTTTTTTTTTTTAAGACAGGGTCTCCCTGTAGACCCAGCTGGCCTGGATCTAGCTTTATAGACCGGGCTAGCCTCAATCTCGCAGAGAAATCTGCCTGCTTCTGCCTATTGAGTGCTGGGATTAAAGGCCTGCGCCACAATGCTGGGAAAGCCTAACTTGGAAATGCACACTTCAGAGATGGTCAAGCAAGGCTGTTCACTGTACAGAGAGGAATGTGCTACAAGGAAACTCCAAGATAAGAGGCAGCTCTCTAGGTGACACAAGGTCAGAACAGCACAGGACGAGGGCACAAGGAGATAAGTTAAAGGTACTTTGTTAAAATCACACTGCAACCCAAGACTTCACTTCAACCTAGAATTCTTTCTTTCCACTGCAACTGGCTGTCGGGGTCATTAACCAGTACAGATGCTTTCCAAGTTACTCAGCTTCTCTATAAATTAACTGAAGCGGCATAAGCAATCCATTTGGAAAATGTACCCCCCATGTAAACAGATTAGGAAGTGTAAAGCAGAAGCTGGATTTTTAAAAAATATTATTTTTATTTTATGTGTATGTGTGTATTGCCTGCATGTAGGTAAGTGCACCCATGTCGTGCAATGCCGGCGGACAGAAGAGGCTGTCGGATCCCCTGGAACTGGAGTTACGGACAGCTGTGAGCTGCCATGTGGGTGCTGGGATTCCAACCCAGGTCTTCTGCAAGAACATTCAGTGTTCTTAACTGCTGAGCCATCTCTCCAGCCCCAAGGCTGGATTTTTTAAAAGTACCATTTGGTCAAGACTTACAATTATTACACTATGTCTGGACCACTATTTTTCTTAACCCTGTCCTACTTTAGGTCTGTCAGCTGACTGGGGAGCTGGGCTGCCAGCCGCAGTCTAGTACCTCCAGTACAGGTTTCTTACTCTCCTTTTTACATATTAGTGGGTTTGAATGGGTGCAAGTGTGTCCTAAAAATATCTTTAGTCAGGCACCTGCCTGCCAACATGTGAACAGGCAGCATTACTCTGAGCTCTGGAATGTCCTTGGACATAGTAGCTCACAAGGCCTCAAGTCTTCCTGGTAGAAGGCAGAGAAGTCCTGCTGTGTTCAGGACCTTTCCTTCCTGCCTGGCTGCTGACCACTGTAAACAGGCTCTGTTCTAGTCACTAGTAATGTCCCTTTCTCTTCAGGAGGAACAAGAGCTGACTGCCCAAAGCCACCTGGACTTGTTTGACTTCTGAGAAGTCATATTTGAAAACAAAACCAAATCACTGAATTAATGAAAACGTGGTTATCTCAGAGATTAAGTCAGTTAAAAGGATCTAAGACTACAGATCCTAGACTCTAATGAAAAGTCCCTGAGTAAGTTGTCAATCAAATTAACTTTTTGTGGAAGGCAGAGCCATTGTATTGAACCCACTGGACAGTTCCAGCTTCTACAAGGAAGATGAAGAGTGACAGCAGGAGCCAGTGAAGTGAGGGAATGCAGAAAAGGCCCAGCTGACAAGCTGGTGGGTGGACAGGGACTCATGATGTAGTAACAGGATGGTGTGCCTCCAGAAGACAGCCACGGGTTCATCTTCCCAGAGTACATGTGCCACCGTCGGTCAGCCGCTTCATTCGGAAACGCTGAATGAGGATGGAGCACTGAGGGCTTCCTCTTCAAAGGCCCGTTCCTTTTTCTAAAGTTTCACTGCATGGGACTGTAAAGAGCCACTTCCTCATCTTATATGGGGAAAAGCTTTGAGGGCCACTTCTGAATCATGAGTTAGGATTACTCAGTTGCCGAGAGCATTCAAACTTTAATACTGCTATAAAAAGTTTGTTTTGGGAAATTAGGCCTAAATGGTAACTCTCCAATCAATCCAAACGTCTTATTTTACACTCAAAATATTCCTGACTGAATTAAATTGCATAAATGTTAAAAGAGGAAACGTTGTAGTTTTTGACAGGCTGCATAATACATGGGTTTTTATTTGAATTTCAACAAATATTACTGAACCAGAAGAAAAGAAGCAACTATTCAGCAAGTGCGGCGCCCATTCGGCTGTTTCCTGGATGCTTGCTAGCATGAAAAAAAAGCCATTTCAACAGCACATTATCACAGTATCTACTGCCCAGCAAATAACTGTCTGACACTGGTACTTGGGGCACTACGAGGCAATGAGGCCCACAAGCATGAGCTATCTGATGACCATCTTAAACTGAAATGAGATGCACCCAGCCGCGGAGGCCTGGGTGAGAGAGAGGGAGGGAGCACCCACTAAGGACAAGGTGCGGCCCAAGACAAAGGCATCTTCCATGCGCACGCCTGCATCTGGCAGACAGCCCGGGCGCAGACCCCGCAGACCCCGGGAGCTGGCCCGGTGCGCCCAGGTCACACGCATGCCACCTCAGGCTTCCCAACTCCGGAGGAGGGCACCTCCGCGGATCCTTCTGGGGTCCGCAGAACAGAGGGAGGGGCCGAGTGATGTCATCCCCGGGGGTCCTCCGCAGCTGGCCCGCAAGGAGCGTGCTAGCCCCGCCGCTGTCTCCGTGGATCCGGGGCGCCGCCCACGCGGGAAGAGTCGGAGCCCAGAGGGGAGCCGCTGCTGGGAACCGCCGCAAGGCGCTGCGGCCACCGCCCGAGCTCGCCAGCATCCGGCCGGGCTGGCCAGGGGCAGAAACAGCTGCGGCTTCCCCGGCGGGACCGCGCCACGCCCGGGCTCTCGGCCTCCACCCTCCCGCTGCCCAGCGGGCGGTTACCTCCTCCGCAGCCTGGAAGTCTTCCATCTTTCCTCCAGCCGGTCGCCTTCTCTGCCGGGGAGAGTGGACTGCGCAAGCGCACTCCGGCCCCGCCCACGCCACACCCACACGCGCGTCCGCCACGCCCCCGCATGAGGGGCCACGCCCACTGCTGGTGGCGGAGCTGCCTAGAGCCCCGCCCACGGCCCGCGGACCCGCCCGGCCTCGATCCCCGCCCATCTAGGCCCGCCCACCTCCTGGCCCCGCCCACCGCTCCCTTTAGGTCCGGTTCACCAGCTCCGGGCCGTGGCCCACAGTGGAGCAGGAATTAGCCGCTCTCCAGCCTCTGGGAGGTGGGTGGTTTCCATGCCAAACTGTCAGGGTCGCCCAACCGCTCTCTAAACTGGCAACCTAAACTAAACACAAGGACAAAAGCTACCTCAGGGGGGGAAGCCACGGCCCTGGCTCCTCCATCCCCTCGCATTGTGGAGACTGAAACTTTCAAACCAGAACTAGTAACCCTTGGTTTGCTTCCCCTGGGGATCTAGGATTAGGATAGTTCAAGCTAACGAAAGTTTGGAGGGGTAAGTTTTCCATAGACAATAAATGAGAATGTTTCCTTTTAAGCGCCACTTTTAAACACATTTTAGGCAGAACATTTTTAGAGTGCAGTCCACTACCTGGCCCATTTAACCGGAATGAGCTAGGCACGTGCTTGTATTCAGGGACCTTCGGTTTTTTGTTGTTGTTTGTTTGTTTGTTTGTTTTTTAATTTTTACAAAAACTTTATTGAGAATTTCATACATGCATATAAGGTGTTTTGATCAAATCCATGCCCACTCCCTCCTCTCCAACATATCCCCGCCCCCAAGAAGTAACTCTAAAATCTTTTAAGGATTAGTTTGATACAAACTCCCAAACACTTTTGGCATTTTTGGCCTTGGAACAGAGTATGCTGCTAACAGGCCCAAGGACATTTTGACTTTTAGCCAAGAAACAGGCTACTTTTCTTTGAGGTCTTTTTACACTAACTGCCAAGCCAATCCCTACCTCCTATTCTTAGCATACCATCCTCTGAAGAGGTTACCCAAATTGTCAATAAGGAATAGGAATGTAGACTGCTCTGGCTTCTTCCATGCTGAACAGGGACACAGGGTGAGGCAGTTGGAGTACCCCTTCAGTGGGTCTATTTAAAAGGCTTCCAAGTTGCATAACTCTTATCTCAAGGAGGAAAAGAAAGTCTTTGAATCAGGAATAGGAGATGTGAAGTAAAGGTAAGAGTAACTGGCATTACAAGTTCTAGACAGGGAACTAGAAAAAGCCAGAACAGGGGAATTTTCAAATGTTCATATGAGAGTCCATTGGAGTTTCTTGACAAGGGCTTCCAAGAACATCCCTCTATTGGGTTCTTCCTCATTTTTCTTTTGTCTTCCAAGGCTGGACTAGTTGGCTGGGAAGAGTGGCTGGAAACTCAGACAAGGGTCCAGTGACCCTGCTTGGCACTCCTTTGACGAATGAGCACAACCATCAACAACCCCAAATGTGACTATGTTTAGCGGTCAGGCTCAACCAAAGTCATGATGATGGTATTTATTTCATGCAGAAGAGATTGCTGTATATCATCATCTTATTAAAAGGACCTGGAATTTAAACAGATTTGATGCTAGGACCCACATATGAAGGAGAACATACATTGTTTATTTTTCTGAGTCTGTGTTACTTCACTTAGTATAACAGTTTCTAGATCTATCCATTTACCTGCAAATTTCACTATTTCATCTTTCTTTACTGCTGAATAGAACTCCACTGTGTAAATTTACCACATTTTTGTTAACCACTTGTCAGTTGAGGGACACTTAGGTTGCTTCCATCTCTTAGCTATTGTGAAAAGAGCAGC